TGAGGTGGCCTGTCGAATGTTGATGGGCAGATTGTTCCAAAGTTTAGGGCCCACGACTGAGAACGCTCGATCTCCTCTGAGCTTCAGCCGGGTTTTTGGTACGGCCAAAAGCAGCTGGTCTGATGATCTCAAAGCCCGAGAAGGAGTATAAGGATGAAGAAGGTCGGAGAGGTATGATGGTGCAAGGCCGTTAATGCACTTGAATGTCAGCAGGAGAATAGGGATGAGATCATCAGAGATACAGAACAGGTTGAACAACTGGGAGATACAAGTTAGAGAGACGAGACTGAGATGGTTTGGACATGTCCAGAGGAGGGACAGTGGGTATATTTGTAGAAGAATGTTAGAAATTCAGCTTCCAGGAAAAAGACAAAGAGGAAGGCCAAAGAGAAGATATATGGATGAAGTTAGAGAGGACATGGAGGTAGTTGGAGTGAGGACAGAAGATGCAGAGGATAGAGTGAGATGGACAAGGATGACTCGCTGTGGAGATCCCTGAAGAGGGAAAAGACAAAATAAGAAGAAGGAGAAGAAGGTATTTTGTGTTGTGAGCGCTACATGCAATGTTGCCAGGTTAAACAAAGTCAGATGAGAACATTGTTTAGATAAAGTGCTTGCTCAGGATGGGAAACTGTGACAAAGTGACAATTCAACACGTCTGCTGGCTTCCTTAGATAAAGAACTTTACTAATTGGCTTTTCTATGTATGTGAATGTTCCTGTAAAGTGCCCTGGGACAACTTTGTGGTGATATGGCGCTATATAAATAAACTAATTTGAACTGAATAAAATATAGTTCAATGAAATGGAAGCAGACATAAAACTATGTAGACCATAAAGCATAACAAAATACTGACTCTGAGCATGAATATTAGTAACTAAACATGTGCATGTCCGCTGGCATCCACTAGAGGGTGCTGTAGCACACAATACGCCCTCACTGTCCACCTCATCATCACTCCTTTATCACGATGTGTCAGCATTCTTCTAACTCGTTATTGACATCTATCTATCTATCTATCTATCTATCTATCTATCTATCTATCTATCTATCTATCTATCTATCTATCTATCTATCTATATGTTTGTTTGCTTGTTTGTTGTTGTTGTTTGTTTGTTTTGTTTTTTGGGGGTGGGGGGGGGGGGGG